CTGAAACACATTTTTGAATCATTTAAGCACAGTTCTAGACACAAAACTAAAGTGATTTTATGTGCTTCAGGGGCAGTTCTGAACACTTTAGAGCTATTTTTTTATTGTTTTTCATCCTATTCTGTGGTTCCGAACAGTCTTGAAGCTTTCTCTAGAGCAAAAATCTTTTTATTAGAAATAATAAACAACTTTTTGGAAGGTTACTCTGCATTTTTTATTGTTCTAAGTTATCTAGAGTACTTTTACAAACTCACTCTAGAACAGTTTCGAGGTGAGTTTTCAATTTATAGGCCTGGGGTTCATTTAAATACTTTTATAGTTATAGTTCCTACAGAGTTATTAGAGTACCCAAATTGTACTTTTTTTTTACTCTTCTATGCTCCACTGATTCGAATATTGTGTTCGGAGTAAGTAAAGTAAAATTATTTTCAGTTGCTTAAAACCTTGCTCTAGACACTTCTAGTTTTCCACTCTACTACTTTTTTTGACTCCGAGTAACATGACAAGAGTGAAAAGAGTATTACTCGAATCATTGAAATGTTCGAAATTATACTCTTTTTGACTCTTTTATACTCTACCCATTATTTTGGAGTAAGTAGAGTAAAATAATTGTATCCGGTTAACAAAGAATAATCGAATAGTTAGGGCAGATATGGAGTACTCTGGAGGGCCAAAGTTGTTCAAAAATCTTACTCTTTTTTACTATTTTATACTTTACTGGTTTAGATAATGTGTTCAGAGTAAATGTAGTAATATTATTAATGTTCGAGTATCAAGAAAAGAGTACAGTTTAAGATTAATAATAATTTTGCTCCAATTATCAAAAATCTGTGAAAATTTTGGAGTAAGTTTTGGTTACTCCACTACTCTATTCACACTAAAAAGTATATTTTCGAACAATTGGAGTATCTGCTTTATTGGTTCGGGTACAGTATTAGAGTAAAGGGAGTAAAGTTTTTGGTGTAAACAGAGTGACTCCAAAAGTTTTATTGTACAGATTAATTTTAACTTGGCGACTCTTTTAACACTTTTCACTCTGAAATCGTTCCGGTTTAGAGCCAGAACAAGATTGATATACTCTACTAATGGCGCTTCCGATTGGTAGATTTAGTGCGGAACTAGTGCAATTTTTTCTATTTCGCTGTTTTTCTTCTAGAGGTCGATTAAAAGGATGCAAATACACTCAGTGCGCACTGAATCTACCAATCGGAAACGCCATAAGTTTAAACGAACATGGATTCAGTTCTATTCAATCAAAAAGGACATATTCGAACAATCGGAGTACTTGGAGTGAAAAAGACGAACTCAAATTAAATTGAACTTTAGTTTTATTAATCCAGAACGTTTACTCTAGAACAATAAATAAGGCAACTGTTACTTTGAAAATCTTTGTTTTTATGTTGGAAGTTTTTGGAATAAGATTTATCTACTCCACTCCGTGCATTTAGCTACTCTATTTACTCTAAAAGGCCATAATTGAATGGTCAGAACCCACAGAGTACTTAAAGTGAAAAAGCCGAACACAACTCTAGACGTTCCTAGTTCTGTTCTGAAAAATCTTGTTACTCACAAATTTGAGAGTTGGAATACTTACGGAGTACTTAGAGTAAATTGCACTTTTTTTAAAACTATTCTATAATACGGATATTATGTTTGGAATAAGTGGAGTAAAATTACTTGAATTAAATTAACAAAAAAAAGAGTAAAAGGAGTAGACTCCAAAAGTTTTAAAATACGTGGTGGAACCTTTGGAAGAAGATCTAATTACCGTACCCCGTATAATTACGCTTAAAAAAGAATAATTGAACAGTTAGAGTGAATACGGAGTACTCTGGAAGGCCCTCAATTAGACTCTATTTGAATCTTTTGTACTCTAATAATTGTTTTCGGAGTAAGTAGAGTAAGATTATTTGCACCTGCAAGTGTGTTTTAGTTACTCTAACTATTGAATCTATACTAAAAAGCCAGTTCCGAACAGTTAGAGTATCTACTTTATTGGTTCCTAAAGTTAATAGGTTGTCTAATAATAGGTAATTTGATCTAAGGTGCCTTATGGAGATTTGAATTATATTGGGGCACCTCCGATGACGTCATAAAAGCTATTCGGCAACAACACAACTTACCTCTATCAAACAAATTTGGGTCGGGTACCGTATTGGAGTAAACGGAGTAGGATTATTAGTGTGCGGCGTGAAAAGAGTAGACTCCAAAAGCAACTCTTTTGACACTTTTCACTCTAAAATCGTTCGGGTTTGGACCCAAAGTAAGATTTATTTACTCCACTCCGTATTAACGAACATGCATCTAGTTACTCTATTTACTCTAACAAACCGTAATCGAACAGTAGTCAGAGTGCCATTGCTTACAAAGTATTTGGAGTGAAAAAACCGAACACAATCCTAGTTCTGTTCCAAACTTCTGAAAATTCTTTTTACTCGAACAAAGGGGAATTTGATAGTTGGAGTACTTAGAGTACCCAAAATTGCACTCTTTTTAACTATTTTGAAATTCACTGATTCGGATCTTGTGTTCAGAGTGAGTGGAATAAGATTATTTGCACTTGGTTAACAGAAAAAGAATAAAAGGAGTAGATTCCAGAGGTTTCAGATCACGTGGTAGAGCCTTAGTAGTGAGTTCTAATTACTCTAGAATACATAAATTCATGTTAAAAAAAGATTAGTTGAACATTTAGAGTGAATACAGAGAAAGCACAAATCATACGTAGTTGTGATTTTTTATACTCTATTAATTGTTTCCACAGTAAGTTAGAGTAAGATTATTCAAAAGATTCAGATCACGAGTGGAACCTTTGGAGTGAGGGCTTATCATTCTATTTCGTACATTTAGGTTAAAAAAAAAATAAACAAAGAATTGGAATAAACACGGAGTACTCTGGGAGGCCCTCAATTGAACTCTATTTGATTATTTTATGCTGCACTAATTTTTTTTGGACTAAATAGAGTAAGATTATTTGCACTCGCAAGACTTCAAAATCTATCCGGAACAAAGTCTAATTGATCCTCACCCACGACCTATTTATCGCGTACAGTGCAAGAGATGATGACTGTTCTAAGCAAGATGACGTCATGAAAGTAGAATTCTACTTGTCGTGATCCGTCTAGGCTCTTGAATCATATTTTATTTAGGCGATGTTCCGTAAGTTAACCAAGATTCTTGGTTTTTCTGGTTCCCGTTCTGTAACCTAACCACTCCCGAAATCTGGTAAGGTTATGAAACGCGGTTCCACACATAAACCGCATTCTCAGGCACAAGACTGTCACCATAGACGAACCGCTCCATACCAATCGGTAACTCTGGTTAAGATACGGAACGCCGCCATAGTAAAGAGCGTTTAGAGTGTTTCCGGAGTATTCAGATCGAGCAAGTCGTTCGGAATTGTATTTTTTTTGACATCTTTTTATTCTGTTCGGGTTTTTGGAGTAAAGCAGAATTTGAAAAAAAGTTTATTGCACACAAATAAACTTACTCTTTTTACTCCGATCATTGAGCTAACAAAATTAGAGTTAAAAGTGCATACTCCAATATCTCCTATTTCTATATTAAAACTAATGAAATCACCTAATACCGATTCAGAACAGTTTTTTGAACACTTTAGAGTGAAAAGACCAAACGTTTACAAGTGAGCCTGGAGTAAAAAAGTCGGCAGCACGTTTACGAATAATACTCGTTTTTGATTTTGTTGGTTTTCGGAGCAAACAGAGCAGAATTGAACGTACTCCAAAAGATTTATTTCAAAAATGGTAGCAACTCTTTTGACACCTTCCATTCTGAAACTCTTTGGGTTTGGATATTGGAGCAAATAGTGTAAATTCCATATTTCTTACTGGAGTTAAAAGAGGCAAGAATACAGACGGATAACTTGGAGTGAATAAGTCGAACTCAACCTTGGTGTAACTTTGTCAGAATTTCAATTTTATAGTTACTCCAAAATAATTTTTTTGGAGTAAGCTACATTAATTCCACTCTGTATAGACAAATGTAAAAGCAGTTATTCTTTCTATTGTAATGGTTGAAGTAATAATTAGAGTGCACTGATTAAGTAAACACTTATGGAGTAATACTCTTTCTGAATGTACGGAGTAGTTAGAGTAAACAAGTCAACTTTAGTGCAGCACTTTGTGTCAGTTAGAGTAACACTTTTTGCACTGTGCGGTGCAAATTACTCGAAACTGTTCAATTTACACTCGTTCTTATAATCTAAACTAACCAAATTATTTCAAAAATGTATTGTTCTGGAATACTTATTGTAACTAAACTTGAAATATTTTGCACTAAGTTTGCTCTATTTAAATAAACACCAAGTGTCGAAATTCCAATTTTCGAACTGGAACTTTTGGAGTGAATACCATTTATTTCACTCTGTATAGCCAAACGGTAACTTAATCGTTCAGAATTTCAAATGATTCAAGATCAATCAAAAATGTGTTCTAGAGTATAAAAAGTAATTATAATAAGCCAGTTCATGATTTTTTCTTATTCGGAACAGCAATCGAACTACACAAAACACTGAGAACCAGTTCAAAAATTATCTGGAACCGGTTTTAAATGAACTGCGAACAATTCAATATGTTCGGAACAAAGCAACAACAATAGGTTTGTTCAGAATTGAACTGTCCAATATATGTTTGTTGATCTAGAACCGCGAATAAAAAAGAGTAAATTCGATTTGTTCCAGGGCAGTTATAAAGATATAGAACAAAAAGAAACGATTTGGAATTGATTAAAGTTGAACTCTATATAGTTTAAAACCGGTTCTAATTGAATTATGAACAAAAAATGGAGTATCTAAGTTCAATGTGTTCTAAGACACAGGGCTTCTTAACGGCAACGAGGTTAATTCCTTAAAAAAGGATGTCTCCGACATTTTAAATAATTAAAAAAATGATGACGTCATACAAATGTCAAAAATAAAATAAATACGTGTTTTGTTGATTTTTAAATTTTATTTTTGTTTAATGAAAATTCCAATATAAAAAGGTATGAATTTGGGTGATCAGCTCGAAAATCAAAATCCCACTCTTTACGTGAAAACTGCAGAACGATCTGCCACCGCTCAAGAATACGATGATTCCGTTGTAGACGAATTCGACCAAAGAGAAATATTCGGTAAGGAATTCTTGTATTTATCTATTCACAATCCGATATCCACAGGTATAGGTAAAATTTATCACTTTTTAATGCTATTTGATAGGGAAAGGTGATAAATTTACCTGTAATTGTGAATAGGATATATTTTAATAATTAACCCTAAGTTAAAGGTTTGAAATTCTAGATTTGATTCGTAACATAAACGATCCAGAACATCCTCTGACCCTAGAAGAACTCCACGTAGTGCAACTGGATTTGATTACCATTGAAAATGATAGAAACAGCGTTCATGTCAGTTTTACTCCGACGATTCCTCATTGTAGTATGGCTACACTGATTGGATTGTCGATTCGAGTTAAACTGTTGAGGTGTTTGCCTTCTAGATTCAAAGTCAAGGTGAGATTATAGAAATTGTGATTTGTTGGAGTCAACTCCCAAATAAACTATACTAACTATATAGGGTTCTTATTCTTGAAACATGGTATCCAGTAGAATGAGTGTTCTGTCTTTCTCAATGATAATATAAGTAACAAAGATGGAACACTCTGCTCCCCTGTTTTAAGAATAAAGACCCAAGGTTGATTTTAGTAGTATGTGCATTCGCTTGCAGGTGGATTATGAAATGTAAATAATACTAATCCACCTGCAAACTGGAATTTTTTTATACACAAGCTTTGTTTTTAGTGAAATCTATTATATCTATTATTATAAATATCTATAAATCTATTATTATTATATTATATTTATCCACAATTTGATTTCCAAAGATAAAGGTAAAATTTATCAACTTTCAGTAGTGCTATTTGATACGGAAAGGTGATAAGTTTACCTTTACCTTTGGACCATGGATTGTGAATAGGATATAGATGAATTTGAAAAGTGCATCAAAATTGATTCACTATAGTGTTTGTTATAACAGAGTGTTCACTTTAAACAGGTTTGCTATATCTGAACTTCACTGTAGTTTGGTATAGTTTGATTTTTTTGGGGAATTTTAAGATGATAATTTTTTTCTGGAAAATTTCAGTTTTAATCAGGGTTGGCCAAAACCCAAATTCGGTTTCAATTATTCATTTACTACAGTAGTTTTCCAGAAAAACTTTGAAATGTGTGAAACTTTATTTTCAATTAGGGTCAACTGGGGTAATTGTGAACAGTTTTAACAATTTTAACTTTGGTAGTGATTATCTAAAGTTTCTTATTTTCTAAATCTATGAAATTTGGATTCAGTGTCGGTTAGTGTATCACGTATTAATTTACCAGGACAGACCGTCATTTGGCACATTACTTTTTATTTATTTTTTTGATTTACATTTACCCCACGCATTTACAATTACCCTGTTTAAAAGGGGCAAATGTAAACGAAGGTTTCATGGAGTATTAGGATGATACTAGAATTTTAAGGGGCAAATGAAAACAAATTTAGTATGACTATGTAGGATTAATTATTTAATACAAAAATATGTCATTCGAAAACTCCTCAATATTTCCATAATAAATTATTATAATGCATCTCTTTTAAAAGTTGACCTTGATTCTAAAAATAGACTAGGCGCAGGTATAGGCTAGGAGGGTAGTGGAGATGAGAGGGGGGTAGCTGGCAAGTGGCAACAATAAGTGGAAGTCAGAAGTCAGGGGGCAGTCGGCAACAACCATTATAAGACGTAAGACGTGTTGCTTGGCCAGTCGTGACGGGACGTGTCGCGTGGTCTATAATTATTAAAGACGTGATAATTATATTAATTAAAAGACGAGAAGACGTATAAACATTTTGATGACGATTCTAAGACGAAGTTGGTGATTTTACGAGTTCATTGTGTACCTAGTTGCTAGTTGAAGGCTGTACTGTGGTGGTGCTCCGCTATTAAATGTGCCTAGTCATTAACCTAAATCCATTCAATCGGTCGGTCAGTGCAATTAAAGTGCGCCAAATATTATTAATATTTAATAATGTGTTTTTATTGTTGAAACCAACCCCCACCCCTAGACAACAAACAAGAAAAGGCCTACAATTTGGGGGCTCGTCCGGGATCTTGGCGGTATTTTGCTGGTATTGGTTACAGTGACTCTATTACCCACAGTGGCGACAATTGCTGTCTTATTTTTGATTGGTTCTAAAATCCCATATATTTATATTGAAAACGCGGCCATCTTGTTCCCACCTATTGCTTAATTCAAATATGAATATATGGGATTTGGGTGAACTTCCATCATAAAACATGGAAAACAACGTATTTGATGGACCTAATAATAGTCATCAAATACGTCGATTTCAATTTTTGATGATAGATGTCTATTTAAATCCTATATATTAATATTTGAAAGTAACAAGAGGTTGGAAACAAGATGGCGGCGGGACCTCTATTGTCGCCACTGTATGTAAAGGTTTATTAAGCCACTGTAGTATTGGTGGCATCGCGGCATTCCTATTGGCCGGATAATGTTGACATTGATGTGCGATTGTGATGGTTGACGTTGACGTTGATCGGCGAAGTGCGGGGCAAAGACATCGTGAAGGCCGTATCGATGCAATATCGATACAGTGTTTTTACATCGGTATCGATAAGTGCAACTCTAACCAAAGTTGGTAGTAAGCATCAAAGCTACTAGAGGGAGCTACTGGAAAGGCGTTGGCGTTTTTTTTTTTGCTAGAAGAAAATTTTTGAAAGTGCTATTTTTGATGTCAGATGATCGATGGTGCCCTGGAAAGTGTTTACTTTGAGTGAAAATTGGGTGTCACTAATGATAGAGGAATGACTACTTAATTAAGGTAGGATCTAATCTTTATTTATAACTTTTGAGCTGAAACATTATGTACATTTTTATATGAAAATAATTGAGTGGAAAAGACTGGAAACTAAAATGATTTATTGGGTTTTTATTTAATATTATTTTCATTATTGAGTAAGGAAGGTTATTTCGCTTTTGTGTAGGAAACTAGATATTTTTTTTTTGAGTAATAATAATCATTAATTAATATTTTTCTGGTTGAAAATATTTTCTAAAGTTTTCAAAAGTAGTTTAAATGGTATTTTAGAAGCAACAATTTATTCTGAAGTTATCTTTTTAGTTGAATTATTGATGATTAAATTTCTTCCTAGTGTTTTTTATTATGAGAATTTTAAAAAAATATAGATATACTTACCTAATTACTTACCTGTCAAATTGGTATATGTAAATACAAGTTGAATATTTAAATATTTTTGCTTATTGATTGAAGCTTGCTTTTAACTCGACTTTGGAGTTCTATTATTTCATAAGATATTTTGTTGATTTCCTTTTGGAATATTTATTTACTGATTAATATTTTAGGTTAGTTTTTATTGGATTGTGAGGAAAGAGCTGATTTCGTCTTAGAGTTCAGGCGTGTGTTTTTTTTTAATTCCTTTTTGATTTTTTTTTTTTGAATTAACGTGGGTATTTACAGGTATTTAACTTTTGGTGTTTATCTTATTTGACGTATTTATTTTGAGAATCGAATCAAAATGTCATCTTTGGGCGAAATCGATCAGATTGCTGAAAATATCAAAAAAAGTTCATTAGATGCCGTTAAAGCATTACATTTAATAGCATATGGAGTAGAAAATGATCCGCGAAGAACGCGTAAAAGTTGTAGGGAATTTTCGGGTTTCGGGTTTGAAGTAGAATCAGATGAGTATGTTCAGAAAAAAAAAGATATAAAAGAACAAATTGACGTATCCGATTTAATTTCTGTTTGTAAAGTATTGGAATTGAATCATAAGGGTAATTTAGATGCTCTGGTGGACCGTGTTTGTTCCTTTATGAATGATCTGACTTTGGCCGATGATACAAATAAAGAGGACGATGAAGAAGCAGACGAAGAGGAAGATGAAGATGAAAGAGTTGACGATGAAGAAGAGGAAGATGATGAGGAAAATTTGGCCACAGTGCAGAGACGTTTAAGAGCAAAAAAGGAGAGTGCTCAATTTTCTTTAACTTTCAGAGATATAGAAGACAGCATACGACCTTTTGAAGGAAAACCCGATTATCCAGTAAAGAAGTGGATTGCGGACTTTGAGGAGATGGCGGACATCACCGGCTGGAATGATTTGCAAAAATTAATATTTGCCAAAAAGTCCTTAAAAGGTCTAGCGAAATTGTTTGTCCAGTCTGAAAAAGGAATAAAGTCGTGGACTATACTTAAGACAAAACTGATCGAAGAGTTTGAAGTCAAAGTTAGCAGCGTTCAAGTTCATAAGCTATTGATGATGCGAAAAAAAAGAAGAGAAGAGACGGTGCAGGAGTATGTCTTGATAATGAGGGAGATAGGTAGCAGAGCAAATATAGAAGCCGAAGTGATTATACAGTGTATTATTGATGGTATTCCGGAGGATTCTTCAAATAAGGTTATTTTGTACGGTGCTAAAAGTTTTGGTGAATTTAAAGAAAAAGTGAAAATTTATGAGCAAATGAAAACGGCTAGATTGATGGGCGAATCCAGCCAAAGCTCAAGTCAAGGACAGAGGAATAGAAAATTTAAGGAGGACGAACATAAAAACTTTAATGCTAAAGCTGAAGACAGAAGGAAAATAGGAATGGGTCCATGCTATAACTGTGGCAAAAGAGGTCATACAGCTAATGGGTGCCCTGATAAGAAAAAAGGCACAAAATGTTTTGCTTGTAACGAATTTGGGCATGTATCGACAAACTGTCCGAAAAAGAAGCAAGTCAGTACTATCGAGGTTGTCCCGAGGAATGGTGTAAAACTGATTATACGAAACACACAGCTGATAGCTTTACTAGACACTGGCAGCGATATCAGTGCCATTCGATTAGATGTTTTTGAGAATAATTTTTCAGAAACTATAAAGCTTGATAAAGAAGTAGTTTTGCTTAAAGGTATTGGTTACAACCAGGTGGAGACCATGGGTTCATTTTGTGAGACTGTTATAGTTAATGGTGAAGAAGTTACATTAAAATTTCACGTAGTCCCAACTAGCACCTGTAATTTTAAAGCTATCATTGGAAGTGATATTTTGCTACAAACTAACATTACCATGATGAATAATGAGATTGTAATTAGTAAAAAAGAAAAACAAAACTTTTTAATGCAAATTACTATAGATGAAAGTGAGATCAAAGAAGTAGATGTTAGTCATATTCGAAATAAAGCAATTCAGGAAACTGCCAGAGATTTGATAGAAAATTACAGTCCAAGAAAATGCAAGACAACGGATATAAAAATGAATATAGTTTGGAAAGAGGAGCAACCCATCTATCAGAGGCCAAGAAGGCTGGCGGTGCCGGAAAAAGAAATAGTTGATAAACAAATACAGGAGTGGCTTGACGAAGGTATAATTCAACCAAGTTTTTCTGACTATGCAAGTCCTATAGTTTTGGTGGCTAAAAAGGACGGGAAAACCAGAATATGTTGT